ATAAGAGATGGATCTCTGTGGAAATCCTGTGAAAGATTCAAGAATGGAAGAACAAAATGATAGCAATTAGCAACAGCCGAACAAGAACAGAGAAAGTCAAGACACAAGCTGAATGAACAGAAGCAAACAAGCACGTGAAGAAGAGTATTAGAGACGACAAACAGAAATACGTGGAAGAGCTGGAAACGATGGCGGAGAAAGCGGAAAAAGAAGTAAATATAAGGCAGCTATACGACAAAACAAAGGAATCAGCAGGGAAATATAATAAACTAGAGAGACCGGTTACTGACAAACGAGGCAAGTCACTCACTGAGATCCAAGAACAGAGGAAGAGATGAGTTGAACACTTCGAGGAACTCTTGAATAAACCAGCTCCATCGAACAGCTCCTACAGACCTTCCCACAGATGTCACTCCACCAACGATCAAACAAACCACTGTGATCATCAGGCAAATCAAGTTTGAAAAAGCAGCGGGATCTTACAATATACTACCTGAAGCTCTGAAGTCAGACATACAAGCATGCTTCACACTATTCATGAAGACTTGGGAGAAAGAATGAGTATCTATGAACTGAAAAGAAGGACACCTCATCAAGATACCAAAGAAAGGAGATGTCAGCGAATGTAAGAACTAACTAAAGGGGCATCACATTACTGTCAGTACCAGAGAAAGTTTTCAACAGAGTGTTGCTGAACCAGATGAAAGATTCAGAAGACCCCCGACACTGAGATCGACAGACTGGATTCCGTACAGAGCACAGAGCAGATCTCGATACTACAGATCATCGTTTAACAATCAGTTGAGTGTAACTCGTGATTATACATCAAATTCCTTGACTGTGAGAAAGCATTTGACAGTATGGAAGTAAGGACCGGAATCAGACAAGACTGCTTATTCTCCCCCTTTCCCTATCTTCTGATGGTTGACTGGAGTATGAAGACCTCGACATCTGAGGGGAAGCGCGGAATGAAATGGACAGACTGGATGTAACTAAACGATTTGGACTTCACAGATGACCTGTCCCTTCTATCTCATGCACACGAACAAATGCAGTTCAAAACAAAATGTGGAGAAGAAGCCTCTTCATCAGTAGACCTCAAAATTTACAACAGAGAAAACAAGATCATCAATTACAACATAGAGGACACCAATACAATCACACTTGATGGAGAAATTGTGGAAGAGGTGGAAGCTCTCACTTATCTGGTCAGCATCATCGATGAACAAAGAGGATCAGATGAAGACGGAAAGGCAAGGGTTGGCAAAGAAATGACGGCATTCCTACAGTTGAAAAATGTATAGGACTCAAAACAACTTTCAACCCACATCATGTCATAATCCTCAGTACGAATGTCAAGGCAATTGTACTATACAAAGCTAAAACTTGGAGAACGACCAAAACCATCATCAAAAGCGTACAGGTATTTTTCAACATTTGTCTACACAAAATACTCCACTTCCGTTTTTCGGATACCATAAACAACAAACTACGGAGGGAGAGAATGAGGCAAGATTCCAGTCAATAAGTAACTTAAGAAAAGACGTTGGGCATGAAGAAAACGATAACATGGAAACAGGAATGTAGATTGAAAAGTGAAAGACCAAGGAACACATGACGTTGGAAATCGGAAGCGAAAACAAAAAGATAAGGTAAGCAGAGATGGATAGTGGCTAGCAGTGGAATCCAGGACGAGCGTTTCGTCCTATTTGGGACTCGTCAGCTGGATGTACCTGCATCTCAGAGTTGGTGTTCACTCTGGGACTCGAACCCAGTACCCTCGCTTCAAACGCCATCGCGTTATCCACTCGGCCACTGAGTCCTGATAGACTGACCAGTTGCAGTCCTAAACACATCGATGGGAAGATCCAAACAAACAATACTAAGTGAATTCAAACTTCACCCCATCGCACAAGCAAGTGGCTATCAGGACTCAGTGGCCGAGTGGATAACGCAATGGCGTTTGAAGCGAGGGTACTGGGTTCGAGTCCCAGAGTGAACACCAACTCTGAGATGCAGGTACATCCAGCTGACGAGTCCCAAATAGGACGAAACGCTCGTCCTGGATTCCACTGCTAGCCACTATCCATCTCTGCTTACCATGCTTGTGAATTAAGGTATATCGAGGCAATACGCACAGTATGCACATATGCCAATTAGAGACTGACCAGTTGCAGTCCTAAACACATCGATGGGAAGATCCAAACAAACAATGCTAAGTGAATTCAAAAAGATAAGGTATTTTCCAATCTTTGTCATTGATTGGCAAGTCCATTGCAATTCAAGTTCCAGTCGAACTGGAACAGTATGCAATTGAAATGACTTATAAATTCGGTATCGTGAAGAGGACTAATGAGAACATTGACTTTTAGAACGTGTTTATAGCAAAAGCATTTGAATTTGTAAACTCAACATGTCAGAATTTATTTCAGTGGATTACTGAAATTAAATGCCCTACTCGATCTGATTTTTCTGATTGATTGATATTTAGTGAAATTCGAATATTTCACTTCTACCCGAATCTTGTGAAGATAATATTGTTCAGAAGAACAATGAAAGTTCCACGACTAAATCATTCAGCTCAGAAAACGAAACACCACCTAAATCATCCACCTGAGCTACAGATCTTCTCAACCAGCCCAGATAGCCAGTGACTTGTGAAATGGGTTACTACTCATAAGCCAAAAATGAGACTGATTAATTGCAGTCTTATACAACAATGAGAAGATCCAAACAACCAATACAAATGAAGTACTAATTAACTTTTGGTACTATTGAACAGTTTCAGTAAATGATATCACAGGAACAAATATCTCCAAATTATCAGTACTTTTCTCATTAGCGAATACATAAATATGTATTGATATTTAAACATTTTGGAGAGGCAACTAATTACATGTTTTGAATATAATGATTTCTGGAGGTCAGTCTTTAATGCATCAATGATTATTATTTTGATCTATGTCATTTAACTAATAATAGTTATAATTACTGGATGGTTTAGAAACGAAATTTACACCATGTTAGAATGGCACCTATTGATTTATGAGAACACACTGTTTTAAATTTACGTAGAATCATCAAACATTTACCGGAATGCATAAGATGGTATTCTGTAATCAGAAAATATGGAGGCATATTCTCGTATGAATAAGATATTGGCAGGTTTATTTTATAAACTTGATATCTTTGTTGATATAGATCCATCGATATATGTATTTCTTTATTTCGCCTCTCATGTTAACATCTTAAAGTAATAAGTTTGAGTTGTGTGTAACATCAAAATTAATGTTACTTCACTAAATAAACTCTAAGAGCTTTTGAAATTGAACCCTGTTGATAAATGTCACAAATTTTCAATAGTCATAATCTGAATTCCTGTGTCCTTCATGAAAGTTGAGATGCAATAAAATGATGGATTATGTAGGTTGCAATACACTTAAATATCACTGTCCTTCTGCAAAAACGAAACAGTTTTTGATCAAATCAGTTGAAGTCCAACAGATATTGCATATAAGTGTGGTTACATATAAAGTGTGACAAATAGGAAAAATATGTGATCATTAATTTGTTGTTACAAAAAATCACTGGATATAAATGTCACAAGTTCCATTAATAGAAAATATATGTCGATTAGTTACACAACACAACTCGTAATGTATCTGTGGCGGTTGATGAATGATTATTTATGCAAAGGAAAATACTTCCTGCAATAATTACATGAAGATTATTAATTATTGTGAATACACTCTTCGAACACTTATAACCGTTACTTTTATCTTCTTCACATTCCTTGACTATTTCTTTGCACCCATTACCTTCTAGATTTTGTCCTCTTAGTCTCCATTCGACTGTTGATAACGAGCCATCATTGACTTCGGTTGCAGCTACCGTATGTCTTTTACATTATCGCGTGTTTCAATTAAAAATGAATGTCATTAGATCATGCAAATGCTTCAGAACAACAAATATATCCCAAACATGTTATTAGAAATGACACTGTTTACTGAATATTAGCAAGTAGTATAGAGAGATACATAAAAGGGAGTTGGATAAAAGGAGAGTGAAGACAATATGTAAAAGAGACCAGTAAATTACTTATCTATAGTTTCTTGAAATTTATGATGGAGAAACAGATGACCAGGTCACATTGTTTTCTTGCAGATTCTTGCGTATGGAATAGATATTTCTCATCCAGTTACTTCTAAATTATCCATATAGAGTTCGATGGTGATTAATGTTTGATCAGTGTTGTGGATTCTTTCAAACTGTTGATCATTTAGACTCTCAAGGAATTTGATAAGGATAGGACTGGAAAACAAGATTTCAATTAACGACTTGTAGTTATGAGCATGCTTGTCATCTTTTAGAACATAGGCATGCTTATCAGCGTCCGACAAAGATAGTTTTTCTTGACATGAAAGCAGCATTTGACTACGTAAACCTAGAGGTATTGTGGCGGTGTATGTCATTGAAAGGTGTACTTCAGAAGTACATAAACCTTGTAAACGCTTAATATTTGAGCACTACCAGACGAACACTTCATTATATCATGTCCTGCTAAAAAGGTGACAACAATAAACTTTCGTTTAATCATACTTTCTGATAAAACTATCATCTACCTTTATCTAGCTGAGAATTTTGATTTGCTAGTAACAAACAACTCTCAGGATTTATGTGGTTTGCAACAAAGTCTTCCATTCAACTTCGATATAACATATCTTATTCGGGGCTTTGAAATAGACAGAGAATGGACGAACAAGGAGGATACTTTGAAGTGTAAGAGTCAAACCTTCATAATTGTGTAACTCTGTATGTGTTTACATGAAATATGTCACCACATGATCGGACTTCATGATAAACGAATAGAAGCATTTTATCTATCCAATCAACTTTTAAGCGAATTCTGATCAATCATAAAATAGTGACCTTGTCCTAAAACATTTACAGTTCCTGACTTTCTAATCAGCTTTTTTCAAGAATAAAGATTTAGGCAAGTACTAAATTTATGTTATAAAAATCAGAGCTTTGATATTTTCACTAGCTTTTATTAGTGCATTCATAAAATGCCAGATGAAAAGCATGAGGTTGTCAGTATTCCCGTAAATTGCGAAAACCGTACATTTGAGAAACAAAGACGTGATTTGCTAAGAACCTTGGAACATAAAAGTGGTGATGGCTCCATTGAGTTATATACTGATGGATGGCCTGAACGATTAAATGGTTGGATTGATTCGTCGTGGAAAAGCTGGAATGATCAAATTCGACGTTTGAGACAAGGAATGTTTGTACTCTTGGTGAGTTTGTTGTGAACGTTTTCTCATCATGTGTTAAGCTACACAATCTTTAGCAGAAAAGTGAAACGAAAACTAGAGTCATCAAAGGTGTAGATATCTGAGGAATATTAACGAACGTTTAGCGATTTTCATTGAACCATTAATTCTCGAAAACAAATGTTAATGAAGAAACAGTATATTTTTCATTAGTGACCGGTTGTTTTGTAGTTGACCTATTTAATACTCAAAAACTCATTTGAGTGACAGCTCAACATACTTAGTGTTTTGAAACTTATTATGTTTAAATTTAGGTTCAACATCTTTTGAACAAAAGATTTAACAGGTTTTTCATGCCTTGAATCCTCATAACCACGTGCATTTCTAAAATTTAAATATATCTCTTTCTCGACAAGCTAAAATGTACCTAACAATGATTTCTCTGTGTTCTTCTTCACATTGCAGCCATTAAGTACATATGGTCTCGTGGGGACTTGTGACCCCGTTTTACTTATGGATCAAATGGAGCGTCAAATGCAAGACATGCGTGACCAGATTCGTGATGATCAAGTGCATTCGATAGGCTCAATAAGCGATTATCTTAAGGATGCCTATGAAATAGGTGAAGATGGGAAGGTGAGAATTCATATCTTATTTCTATTGAACACTTTGACGAAATCACATCAAATACCTCGGACAATCAAACAGTGTGTTTTATTTTGTAGGTGCACTTTCATGTGTGCTTCAATTTGGAGGGCTTTGAACCCAAGGATATCAAGGTGACATCGACCGACAATTACGTTAAAGTACAAGCAAATAAGGAGACAAAAACGGAAGATTCCAGTTGTTCTCGTGAATTTTGCCGCATAATTGAACTCCCTAAATCGATCGACCGCAACCAATTGAATTGTAGTCTAACTAGTGTGAGTTATTCAAAACATTGTATATGAGATCATTTGTTCTGCTTATTGTCACTCACAAATTAAACGTATCTGTTGCTAATTCGTTTACTTCAGGACGGTGTGTTGAAGCTTGGAGCTCCAGTTAATGTGCCTGACTACCAATCACTCACATTCAATGACAACGGTCAGATTGCCATTCGGCCTAAATCACACAATCAAGTTCAAAATGCTCACAAACTGGCAGTCAAGGGTGAGCCAAATACATCTATACTTATATTACACACTTATTGTTTGGTCATTTGTTATTTATAGTTTAGCTCGTTTTCTTATCTCTTCCTAGGTGATCATGGTTACTCCATTGTTGAAAACGAAAACGGTGGTAGAGATTTACATGTTGAATTATCATTGGATCCAATCTATAAACCTGAAGATTTGTGCATCAGTGTTGATTCAAAACGAATTATGGTTTCGGGTTGTCACTACATGAATGGTGATCATTCGAGTTCCTATACTAATTTCACTCATTCATATGAAATTCCGGAAACACTGGACCCATTGTCTGTTTCTGCTCAAGTGATTGACCAAACGCTAGTTTTGGAAGCACCTCTGATGAAGTGTCATAAAGTGGAACAGTGATATGATCTGATTAATCTTATTTATTTAAATCAAATATATTTTATCATTACATTTGTGTTATTCAATGTGCATTTTGTTTACCATTCAAGAAAAGTGACACAACATTTATATAGTATCATGAGTTTTCAAGTACTGTTGTGATCAACAACGTCAATTGCATATCGAATTACAATTTTCTCAAGACATGTTTCAAAGGAACTCTCTTTCGTTAGTCAGACCTTGAGGTAGGTAAACTACATCGTATAGATTTAAAAGATTATACAAAAAGGGAGATGAAATACATATCACAACTAAATCCAGTCTTTGTAGTTATATTCAGGCGAATGTGATAAATGAGTAGATACCACAAAATGGGTAATGCAAAATAAATTATTGACACAGTGTGGAAGTTTGGATAGATCTATCAATTATAATTCTCAATGAGTAAATGAGGCTATCGGAATGAGGATTCCTTGTTGAAATCTTCCTTTGGATAACAAACAAGAACATGTTGGAGCCAATCTATGATAAGCCTTAAATATATGTTCTGTTCAAATCTGACTGTAGCACTATCACAACCCTGACTTATTGATCAGAATTTAAAAGTGACTGACAGGACTCGTTCAATATCGATCACTAACTAGGATGATATTAATAACTATTTAGCAACTGTCCATTATCAAACTTTCTTTATTTCAACCCACTTTAATTTCAAGAAATTCTCAACACTTTCGTTAACTTTGTGATTTTTATTCTCGATAATAATTAAGTTAGGTTGAACTAAATTCAGTTATCGTCACCGAAGTCGATTTTGACTTGAATTTTTATGTCATCCGCTTCAATTAGTTACATTGAGTTTTGTCAACAAAATATTTTCAGCATTCAAAGATTATCTGTCAGTACTGGAGTAGCAACAAATAATTAAAATATTAGTTTCATGTTTGTGTTAGTTCACGGTTGATGCTCATTCAGAAATGTTGATGTATTCAGTTTCGGATATAATATCATTGTCTTATATGATGTAATAGAAGTAGCAATTCATTTAGAGTGGAGTTTGTTGAAGGTTGTTAAGTGAATGAGCAAGGTATCCTGATTCCTTGTTGACTTTTATAGTAGTTACATTCACAAAAGAGATTAGCAATGAAACTCATAAAAGATTCTCTTTCTGTTTGGTGGTCGTTACCCGTTCCCATCGAACATGGAATACCAGTACTCATGCGTACGCTATATAACACTATTCAACAAAATTTTACCCATATAGACGTTTAAGAGTTCGAGCTCGAAACAGTGCTTGCAATTATTGAAACCACATTATTATTCCAATCTAATTTGCATTGCGTACTCGTTTCCACAATATTGTTTGTATACCCAGTGTTTATTGGACATTAACCTGGAATTAACCTTGACCATATCACATCTCTACATGTCACCATCTAGTTTTCATTTTCATAATTACTTATTTCCATATATCTCAACTGACTATTATACACATACTGACCAGATACCGGAAGACAACATAGCCACTTAGTCCTACCTTCACAAATCTAATCATGCATCTAAGAGATCATTTCGATTATAGAATTTCAATAATCCAATGAAACAGTAGTACAGTGCTTCCAGATTTTCACAAGTGCTTTATGTAAGATCTATCGGCAAGTACAACAGTGAAAATATTAGGAATATTACGAATACAACAAATCATCATTCATGTGAAATGGACTACACCGTAACATCTTCTGTTACACAGCCTCAATTTCGTTGCCACCATAACTGCAAATGGAAGCAAAATCAATTCGATCCCATCCAACATGAAATACCAGTTCTCAAATGTACACTGTACAACACTAAGCAACGAAATACTATGACGTGTGGAAGTCGGTCAGGTTCACACATTCTGATTGTCAGCTTGAGAATAAATCACGTCTGCTACTCACATACTCGTCGCTCCACATAAGACAAAACAGAACTAGGTAGTCGAAGTCAATTGATTGCCCATCCACAAACGATAAGTATACGGTTAAAAAATAATCGAAATCAGCTCTATGAAATACCAGTGAATATGTGAAAGTAAGGCGTGGAGGTGTTTGTGATAAGGTGAAGGTCACTTTCAGGACAACATCCCAGAAAATGTTGCAAACAAGATAAATATCATTAGAAGAATGATAAGACGTCGAAATTAGGAAGAATCGGAACGGTTTTCATCGCACACCCTCGATATTACACTGATCTCGCTCCGTTAGTCAGATTAAAATAACGTATCATGTTGAATGAAACGTGTCCATGTTGTTGAGAGATTGGTTGTTTGTTTGTGAGTTGTAGATACTAGATGAGAGTTATTGTTTTATTAGTGATATTTGATGTACTGTGGGTATGTGAAATATAATATATAAATATATACATATGTCTGGACAATAACAGCGAAATAAGAATTCCTGAAAGCGTTTCATTCCCAATTTACACTGGTTTCAACGACGACACATCAACTGAATGATCACTATTTTCACAACTATTCGTTGTAATATAAGAAAGATGAGATTAAGTATTGTGAGTGTTGAGTTAATTGATATATTGTCAGTATTCTCGAAATAGTTGGTGTGAATACATGAAAATAGTCAATTTTAAGACTGGAAATTAGGCGTCCACATATAGAGATATGATAATGACAGGGTTATTTTCAGGTAGACGTAAACGACTGCTGGATACATATGTCATTGTAACGTGGTCCTAACCTTCCTTTATATCTCCCTCAATCTATCGTTTTTGAATACCTAATTACTTACTCATTCAAGTCTGTTACTCCTCATGGAGCGTAGACCGACGACCAGGAATTTTCAATCTACTCCTTTCCAATTATGTTTCACAACTACTAATTATCCATCGTTACAACTTTCAATTATTCTCTTCTTAATATCTATCTTGTGAACGATTATCTTCACTGATGTTCACCTTCAATCTCCTGCTGGCATGCATTCCACTTCCGATTGATTGTAGCCGTAATAGTAGTAAAAGGGGTTTTAGTATTATCATTATTAGTAGTATTAGTTTCAGTAGTTATAGTACAGAAAGGGTGAAGGTGATTTTAGGGACAAGGTCGGAGAACAATTGACAAGAAGATCGATATCACTGTTACAAATTATAAATGTGTGTTCGATTTTTTATAACTAGTCACTCACTCATCACATACAGATTATTTCGATGGTTGAAGAATAATTTAATGACTAATATAGAGTTGGAATTCAAAACAACAGTTTGATTCTCTCAGTGTCTCAGTATCAAAATACCACATGTCCACTATTCACCTATGTACCGATTGAAAATGATAAAATTGGATTTTGTAACACGAATGTGCCTCAATAGATGATCTATATATTTATTATTTGTCAATGCACATCAATGTGTGAGATGATATTTGATTTAGGTCACTACATTTACACCAAAATCACTGAACAATAAAATATTGTCCAATCTCTGTCATTGATTGGCCAGTCGATTGAAATTTAAGCTCCAGTCGAACTGGAACAATGTACAATTGAAATGACTCTTAAATCTGGAATCGTGAAGAGGACTAATGAGAACATTGTCTTTTAGAACATGTTTCAAACAAGAGCATTTCGATTGTCAAATCAATTGCTTAATTGATGGACTTTCAAATCACGTTGCTTATCTTTCACTAGAAACACTCTATTGTTCATAGTCAAAGTGACCATCATGCTTTGTTTATTCGACAGTGTTATATGATAGATGGTCTAATACAGAAGTAAAGCATTCACATGTTCCAACACAGACGTGTTTGAACAAGGAGTTTTGTTGCTCACTGAGTCAAAGTTTTCAGAAACATCTGTACCTTCTGGCTCGTGGAGAAAACACTCACACTGATATCGACAGTTTGTGCTTGGAAACTTAATTTCAAAAGACCATTGAAACTGAATAATGTTTACAGTGTGAAATTATTTACTATTCTACCGTATATGTTTCCAAACGATATCCAAGAATTCCAGATTCTTAATGAAGCCTATCTCAATTGAGATTCCCACCCTATAAGTGTAATACATGCTTCAAGTAACTCTCTGAGTGTGTGGAGCAATTTCCTCTTCGCGACCAGAGTACAGAGGCATCTCTCCCGTACTTAGCCATTGTTGTCCAGCTTGCGTTTAATGTTTTTCACCGATTCCGAGCAATGCCAACTTGTAACTCCCCATTTCTATTGCTACATTACTGGTCTTTCCGGTCTCCCACATTGTCCGGAAGTTCCATGTATCTATAAAGAGTGTTGCTCTGGTTGTTAGAAGAGGCATCGGCCTCGCGACTTCGAAAGAATCTCGACTTTCATCATTTGGTGTCATAATTATTCCTTGAACTCGGAAAGAAGGGTTTAAATAGTTTGAATGATTTTTCCTGGTTAGCGTTTTTTTGGCGATTTAGTTTACTACGGGATGACGTCGCTAAACTCACGCCCAACACTCCCCATTTGTTTGGGCTTGGGACAGGTAGTAAATATAAACAATAAATGTAAAAGTGAATATGCAGCACAAATTGTCATTTGAAGATTGACTGAAATGGCATGATTATTAATACAGACTTCACTTAACATCCAGTCGAGTGGACAGTCCTATTCAACATACACTTCGAGGCTCGTATGATCTCATTCCCTGATTATACAGTATGGATCATACAGATCAAATTCTATCAATTCCGAAGCATTAAGTCAACATTTTCACTAGACTAATCCACTTCTAGGATTACCCAAAGCTCACAAACGGTCTGGATAAATGGTCAGTTCGTTAAGAAGAACAAAAACAATCGACACATACCAGGGATAATCTCGTGTCTACTGCAATCCCATGATGTATGGTAATCTATACTTACATATGAGCCATTCTCTTGCCAATAAAATCATCAAAACTAAGCCTTCCGATTAAGCCACAATTTATTCCAATTTTGAATGGGTGCACTCCACACAGATACCGGTAACTAATCTTCATAAGCAATCGTTGTTGTCAATAAACGACTATTTGCATCTAAACAAAATGAGCGCTAGTTAGCGTCACACATCAAACTTCATTACACCGACATCAATATGAAATTCGTTATCGTGAAAGCACGTTTCACATCGGATCCTAATCTGATAGATGACAATGTTAAAGCACGAATACAACTCGAACAACCACCTGTTTTCCAATCCAATCAATTACTTAGACTCATGCCACAACAACTTCACGATTGTAAAAGCAAACAGCAAATAAGTAAATAAATTTATTCGGAAATTAACACAAACATATAAGGATGATTGTCACCCTCATTATTATCATCATCATCATCAGAATCAGAATCATCGTAAATCCAGTCCGTATTATTTTGCTTCTAGTGGGTAATCGCATGTTGCTTCTCCAATGGCGCCTCCAAAACCAATGTATTGCCAACTACCTGAGCAGAAACAGATAACGGATCAACTGTCTCTGGAATCGCATACGACTGACTGAACTCTGCAAATGAGCTCGACCTTCCATGTTGATCACTCTTCTGTTTGTGATGACGTCCACTAACCACAACACGATTCGAATCAACATTCACACACAAGTCTTCAGGTTTGTACACTGGGTCCACTGGAACTTCAACATGCAGTCGCTTCCCACCTGAACCATCATCCACATACGACAGACCATGAACACCTAAAATGGATAGGAAAACATACAAATGTTATGAAAATGCAACACGCACAAACGAGAATAACACACCCACCAGATCACCATCAACACACACATGTCACATCTAAGTCAATCACAACTCCTCTCACCTTTCGCAACAAGAGCTTGTGATGCAGGAACTGCCTTAATCTGATTGTCCGACTTCGGTCGAACAGCCACCTGACCAGACTCGTTCAGCGTCAACGACTGGTTCTGATCAACCTTCACTGGAGCCTCCAACATCAAAACACCATCCTGAAACAAACGTACAGAATAAGATGGAACGAAATATCCAACTGTTCTAACATGATTCGAAATGCAAACAACTACAAATACAACACACATAATAACACCAGCAACCACGGTCGCCAACTCAGTAACTTACATCTGTCATGCGACATTTCAGTTGACTATTATCAATACTCTTCGGCAGCTGCACCATACGGCAGAACTCCCGACTACACTTCCCACCATCGGTCGTCGTCTCCTTCTTCGCGTGTACCGTCACACGGTTCTCACTCGACGTCACATTGATGTCCTGAGGAGCGAAACCTTGTGCATCGAATCGTACTTTGAAATGTACCTGCGCAATAAACAACAACCATAATAACACTCCTCAATCCATGGCCATATTCGAACCAGTTGCAAAAAACACTAAACACAACCTACCTGCTTGTCAACACGGACTCACCTTGCCATCCTCACCAACTTCATAGGCGTCCTTCAAAAAGTCACTCACTGAACCGGTCGACGGCACATCCAATGACCCCATTCTCTCTCGGATATCCTGGATATGACGATCCATTTGGTGCATTAAAGCGAATGGATTTTCCAGAATCCCGTGGGTGAAAGTATCCAATGGCTGAAATTCAAAGTACAAACCGAAATCATCAAATCTCTCCTCGAATTTAATGCAAAATTTCCTCACACAATGCATTATTGCATTCCTAATATACACAAATAACAAACATTATCTCACAAAATCATATGTATTAATGATCACCTGAATAATGAATAGCCAAACTCACCAATAGTGCAAACATTCCACGTCTCAAACGTCGCATATCGTCATCCCATCTCTTCCACGAGGAGTCGATCCAGTTGTCCACTGTACTCGGCCAGTCTTCCGTGTATGGTGCGATTGAGTTGCCACGATGAGCACCACCCCCATGTTCCAGACCAGTTAATAAGTCACGTCTTTGTTTCTCAAATGACCGTTGCTCACGATTCACAGGAATACTAACTGCATTATGTTGTTTAACACCAGACATATTGAACACAACAACAGAAGTAGAACAGCAATATGAATTGAATGTTCACCGTTTAACTCACTTATATAATAGTGGGTGAGAGAGATTATCCAATAATCTCCAGACAGGAAACAACCAATCAGAACACTAACATTTCTACAATGTAATTATGTCCAAATCTGATTGGTGATTGAAGGACATTTTCTCAAAAGTTCTCGATTTCTCTCGTCCTGTCTGGTCTACGTCATTACATGTTTGCTCTGTGTCAACACACACTACACCTTATTTACTAGAACTCTCTAGAAAACACTCCGGAATTCTAGTGAAATCCTAATGCTTCCATACTAATGCTATTCACTACAAATCACAACTGACCATTAATGATGTCGAATTTGATAATTTTATTTCTATACACATTCATGGTTATTTGGCAAGAATTTCCAAAGCACTCAAATTGATTAGGTGAGTCTTGACAGGATCAATCGGGAATAGTCAACAGACTGTTTATTTGTTCAGCTCATTTTCTTTTTAGTTGAAAGCAGGCATCTTAGGTTTTTTGGTGAAAACTGAACTATAAACAGTGATTTTCGTATAAAACAATTAAAATCTTCAAAGTTCATGATACGTCGTACTGAGTGCTAAACGATCTCCTGATGGTCACCTGGAGTACAATTTTAAATTTTGTGTATGTCAACCGTTGACACTGTAATTATCGGCACATTTACCTGCTTGGTGAGGTCACCCATTATCGTTGATTTTGACTATGAACAATAGAGTGATTCAAGTGAGAGATAATCAAGGTGATCTGAAAGTTCATCAACTAAGCAATTGATTTGATTGCGGTAATCCACTGAAATAAATTCTCACATGTTTAGTTTACAAATCCGAATACTCTTGTTTTAAACACGTTTTTAACAATGATATCTATCTTCTTGTCAATTGTTTCATACGTTGTTCTTAAAATCACCTTCACCCTTTTTATAAAAGTACTACGCTTACTGATACAATCAAATAAATACAACTAGAAGAATTTACATATTTTGTAATTCACTGATTCTTTTTATACTATAGGGTGCACTAATTCCTTGTTCTTTAAAACATCTTTAACATATAACCGTTGGATATTATCAGAAACATTTTGATAACAAGTCACATTCAACCTTTCTGTACTATAACTACTGAAACTAATACTACTAATAATGATAATACTAAAACCCCTTTTACTACTATTACGGCTACAATCAATCGGAAGTGGAATGCATGCCAGCAGGAGATTGAAGGTGAACATCAGTGAAGATAATCGTTCACAAGATAGATATTAAGAAGAGAATAATTGAAAGTTGTAACGATGGATAATTAGTAGTTGTGAAACATAATTGGAAAGGAGTAGATTGAAAATTCCTGGTCGTCGGTCTACGCTCCATGAGGAGTAACAGACTTGAATGAGTAAGTAATTAGGTATTCAAAAACGATAGATTGAGGGAGATATAAAGGAAGGTTAGGACCACGTTACAATGACATATGTATCCAGCAGTCGTTTACGTCTACCTGAAAATAACCCTGTCATTATCATATCTCTATATGTGGACGCCTAATTTCCAGTCTTAAAATTGACTATTTTCATGTATTCACACCAACTATTTCGAGAATACTGACAATATATCAATTAACTCAACACTCACAATACTTAATCTCATCTTTCTTATATTACAACGAATAGTTGTGAAAATAGTGATCATTCAGTTGATGTGTCGTCGTTGAAACCAGTGTAAATTGGGAATGAAACGCTTTCAGGAATTCTTATTTCGCTGTTATTGTCCAGACATATGTATATATTTATATATTATATTTCACATACCCACAGTACATCAAATATCACTAATAAAACAATAACTCTCATCTAGTATCTACAACTCACAAACAAACAACCAATCTCTCAACAACATGGACACGTTTCATTCAACATGATACGTTATTTTAATCTGACTAACGGAGCGAGATCAGTGTAATATCGAGGGTGTGCGATGAAAACCGTTCCGATTCTTCCTAATTTCGACGTCTTATCATTCTTCTAATGATATTTATCTTGTTTGCAACATTTTCTGGGATGTTGTCCTGAAAGTGACCTTCACCTTATCACAAACACCTCCACGCCTTACTTTCACATATTCACTGGTATTTCATAGAGCTGATTTCGATTATTTTTTAACCGTATACTTATCGTTTGTGGATGGGCAATCAATTGACTTCGACTACCTAGTTCTGTTTTGTCTTATGTGGAGCGACGAGTATGTGAGTAGCAGACGTGATTTATTCTCAAGCTGACAATCAGAATGTGTGAACCTGACCGACTTCCACACGTCATAGTATTTCGTTGCTTAGTGTTGTACAGTGTACATTTGAGAACTGGTATTTCATGTTGGATGGGATCGAATTGATTTTGCTTCCATTTGCAGTTATGGTGGCAACGAAATTGAGGCTGTGTAACAGAAGATGTTACGGTGTAGTCCATTTCACATGAATGATGATTTGTTGTATTCGTAATATTCCTAATATTTTCACTGTTGTACTTGCCGATAGATCTTACATAAAGCACTTGTGAAAATCTGGAAGCACTGTACTACTGTTTCATTGGATTATTGAAATTCTATAATCGAAATGATCTCTTAGATGCATGATTAGATTTGTGAAGGTAGGACTAAGTGGCTATGTTGTCTTCCGGTATCTGGTCAGTATGTGTATAATAGTCAGTTGAGATATATGGAAATAAGTAATTATGAAAATGAAAACTAGATGGTGACATGTAGAGATGTGATATGGTCAAGGTTAATTCCAGGTTAATGTCCAATAAACACTGGGTATACAAACAATATTGTGGAAACGAGTACGCAATGCAAATTAGATTGGAATAATAATGTGGTTTCAATAATTGCAAGCACTGTTTCGAGCTCGAACTCTTAAACGTCTATATGGGTAAAATTTTGTTGAATAGTGTTATATAGCGTACGCATGAGTACTGGTATTCCATGTTCGATGGGAACGGGTAACGACCACCAAACAGAAAGAGAATCTTTTATGAGTTTCATTGCTAATCTCTTTTGTGAATGTAACTACTATAAAAGTCAACAAGGAATCAGGATACCTTGCTCATTCACTTAACAACCTTCAACAAACTCCACTCTAAATGAATTGCTACTTCTATTACATCATATAAGACAATGATATTATATCCGAAACTGAATACATCAACATTTCTGAATGAGCATCAACCGTGAACTAACACAAACATGAAACTAATATTTTAATTATTTGTTGCTACTCCAGTACTGACAGATAATCTTTGAATGCTGAAAATATTTTGTTGACAAAACTCAATGTAACTAATTGAAGCGGATGACATAAAAATTCAAGTCAAAATCGACTTCGGTGACGATAACTGAATTTAGTTCAACCTAACTTAATTATTATCGAGAATAAAAATCACAAAGTTAACGAAAGTGTTGAGAATTTCTTGAAATTAAAGTGGGTTGAAATAAAGAAAGTTTGATAATGGACAGTTGCTAAATAGTTATTAATATCATCCTAGTTAGTGATCGATATTGAACGAGTCCTGTCAGTCACTTTTAAATTCTGATCAATAAGTCAGGGTTGTGATAGTGCTACAGTCAGATTTGAACAGAACATATATTTAAGGCTTATCATAGATTGGCTCCAACATGTTCTTGTTTGTTATCCAAAGGAAGATTTCAACAAGGAATCCTCATTCCGATAGCCTCATTTACTCATTGAGAATTATAATTGATAGATCTATCCAAACTTCCACACTGTGTCAATAATTTATTTTGCATTACCCATTTTGTGGTATCTACTCATTTATCACATTCGCCTGAATATAACTACAAAGACTGGATTTAGTTGTGATATGTATTTCATCTCCCTTTTTGTATAATCTTTTAAATCTATACGATGTAGTTTACCTACCTCAAGGTCTGACTAACGAAAGAGAGTTCCTTTGAAACATGTCTTGAGAAAATTGTAATTCGATATGCAATTGACGTTGTTGATCACAACAGTACTTGAAAACTCATGATACTATATAAATGTTGTGTCACTTTTCTTGAATGGTAAACAAAATGCACATTGAATAACACAAATGTAATGATAAAATATATTTGATTTAAATAAATAAGATTAATCAGATCATATCACTGTTCCACTTTATGACACTTCATCAGAGGTGCTTCCAAAACTAGCGTTTGGTCAATCACTTGAGCAGAAACAGACAATGGGTCCAGTGTTTCCGGAATTTCATATGAATGAGTGAAATTAGTATAGGAACTCGAATGATCACCATTCATGTAGTGACAACCCGAAACCATAATTCGTTTTGAATCAACACTGATGCACAAATCTTCAGGTTTATAGATTGGATCCAATGATAATTCAACATGTAAATCTCTACCACCGTTTTCGTTTTCAACAATGGAGTAACCATGATCACCTAGGAAGAGATAAGAAAACGAGCTAAACTATAAATAACAAATGACCAAACAATAAGTGTGTAATATAAGTATAGATGTATTTGGCTCACCCTTGACTGCCAGTTTGTGAGCATTTTGAACTTGATTGTGTGATTTAGGCCGAATGGCAATCTGACCGTTGTCATTGAATGTGAGTGATTGGTAGTCAGGCACATTAACTGGAGCTCCAAGCTTCAACACACCGTCCTGAAGTAAACGAATTAGCAACAGATACGTTTAATTTGTGAGTGACAATAAGCAGAACAAATGATCTCATATACAATGTTTTGAATAACTCACACTAGTTAGACTACAATTCAATTGGTTGCGGTCGATCGATTTAGGGAGTTCAATTATGCGGCAAAATTCACGAGAACAACTGGAATCTTCCGTTTTTGTCTCCTTATTTGCTTGTACTTTAACGTAATTGTCGGTCGATGTCACCTTGATATCCTTGGGTTCAAAGCCCTCCAAATTGAAGCACACATGAAAGTGCACCTACAAAATAAAACACACTGTT